GAACCCGTATCAGTCGGTTGATCAACCTCAAGGCACGTCCTGCGGTGCCTCTCAGGACTTCCGTGCTGCATTCACAAACATCTGTAGCCTTATGAACAAACGGGATGAGCTGTGTCGCTTTTTTGCCTCTGAGCGACCAGACGTCGTAGGACTGGCGGAGACATGGCTAACTTCTGAGGTAATGGCAGAGGAAGTCGATCTCAGTGGCTACTCATGCTTTCGCTGCGATAGAATATCAAATCCTCGTGGTGGTGTCTTACTTTATATACGGTCTTCCCTGCGTGGGAGGCTTGTAAGCGTGTACCGAAGTGGAGATGGACTGTGTGAACAGGTATGGTGCTCGATCAACCTCAGGCGCGGCAAGCTGACAGTAGGTGCATTCTACCGTAGCCCTCTGAACCGCTCTTTAGATTGGCTACCGCATCTTCGGAACAACATGAGTCGTCCATGTTTTCTACTAATGGGTGACTTCAATTGTCCCCACATTCAATGGCCTGAAATCCAACTCATGCCCGGGTATTCTGAAGTCGAATCAAAGTTTGTTGATTTGTTGCTTGAAACTGGGGCATCGCAACACATATACCAACCTACGCGCATGACGGCGCGTTCGAACCCATCGTGCCTTGATTTGATGGTGACGAATTGCGAACAGCGGTTGCATGACATACGAATCCAGGAGCCCCTAGCTAAAAGCGACCATTCCGTGCTGATAGCCACTATGGAACTGAACTTGCCGAGTGTATCTCCGGTGGAACCAGCTTACAACTACTGTAAAACTGATTTGGATGGATTAAATCGAGCGGCGAGCCAAATGGATTGGTCTCTACCGCATGGTACATCTGTGGAGGACGGTTGGACAGTAGTAAAGGAAGGATTGGCTTCGCTTTGTTCTCAGTTTGTGCCGTTGAAATTTCAGAAAGTCGGACCAATCAAACCACACTGGTTCGATAAGGAATATGGTAGGCTGGCTCGGTTACGGCGAAGAATGTGGGACGCATTTCGCCTCTCTGGCTCCGCCACTGATTACGAAGCATATAAAAGACAGCGAAATATTTGCAACAAAGTGAAATTGATAAAGCGCCGGAAGTTCGAAGAAAAGCTTGCAACTGACGCGAGGATGGCCCCAAAGAAGATCTTTGCTTACGTGAAACGCCGTTTGAAGCCAAAAGGTGACGTGTCATGTCTGGAAGACGCGGACGGACACCTGCTAACTTCCAGTTCCGATCGCGCGTCCGCACTGGACGCTCACTTCGCTTCCGTGTTTGCAAACGACGCGGCGTCCATACCCATCTCAGCGAGTAACATTCCCGTAGAACTCAACAGTTTGGTTTGTGATGTCGATGAGGTGCGCCTGCTACTTGCGAACCTTGACGGTACCAAGCCTTCAGGGCCTGACGGGCTTCATCCGCTAATTATCAAATTGCTAGCTGCCATTATCTCGCCTGCTGTTACGGATCTATTCAACAAATCATTGTCTGAGGGCTCATTGCCAAACGACTGGAAGCGCTCGGTGGTGAGGCCGATCCCGAAAGGTGGCGACCCCAGTAAGGTGGATAACTACAGGCCGATTTGTCTTACACCCGTTTTGGCCAAAGTGATCGAGAAGATAGTAAAAAAGCGTCTAATACATCTGTTGCAATCGAACGAACTTCTGACACCGGCACAACACGGATTCAGGATGGGATATTCTTGTGTTACCAACTTACTTGTGACGAGACAGGAATGGTTGCAAGCACTGAACCGGGGAAAGTCCGTCGACGTAATCTACATCGACTTCAGCAAAGCATTCGACAAAGTCAATCATGAATTGCTTCTAGACAGATTAAGGTCGTGTGGTGTCGGAGGATCGTTACATCGATGGATCCATGAATTTCTCGTTGGAAGAAAGTGGAGGGTACAGGTGGACGGCCATCTAACCGATTGGTATCCCTCGACCAGTGGTGTACCTCAAGGTACGGTACTGGGACCCACTCTGTTTCTCATCCATATCAACGAGCTGCCCCAGCTTCTACGGTCGCCGTGTGCACTGTTTGCGGATGACCTCAAAATTTGGCGAGAAATTAATACTCTCGATGACTGTGACATTCTCCAACAAGACCTCGACCGCCTCGCAGTATGGTCTGCTGAAGTCCACCTACCGGTCAACCCGGCAAAGTCCCTATTCATGAATCTCGGGAAGGCTGTTCACGGACGAACGTACACCCTAGACGGCAAACCACTGCATCCCACACCTTCCGTGAAAGACCTCGGTGTACTCTCACGCTGCGACTTGAAGTCCGTCGACAACACCAACAAACTGTATCGAAACGGACTGCGCATGCTCTGGGCGCTGAAACGCAGCTTCTGCACGTGGTCTGAGGACGTCGCCACTCGCCTCTTCTCTTCCATCGTCAGACCAATGGTAGAGTACGGCTCGCCTGCATACTGTCCGATCACTCGCGGCGAAGCGCAAAAGATCGAACGAGTACAACACGTCGCCACCAAGTTGATCCCCAGCTTGAGAGGCTTATTGTATGAAAACCGGTGCATGAAACTTGGGCTCTACACCTTGTCATATCGCCGTGTTCGAGTGGATCTTATCATGACCTACCGTGTTTTACATCTCGGTCATTTCCCCATGCTGAGGTCGTTACTCCACTTGCGAGTACCATGCACCACACGTGGGCACAGGTACAAACTCGTGGTACCTGATCTGAAGAAAATCCCACACTCTCTGTGTTTCGAGCGGAGGATTGTGCACGCTTGGAACAGTCTGCCAGAACACGTCGTCGAGGCCGAATCTGTGCAGAAATTCAAATCTTTGCTGGATTTACACTTCGCTAACATACGTTTCAGAGAACGGTTGCCACTTGACAACGATATCACCTACTTGTGACTCACTGTGTGAACACGCATTTTGTGTGCTACAGAAGGAGTTGCTGAACTATCTCAGGATAACCACCGGACGTGTTTATTTATTCTTTTTTAAATGTTTTTTGATTATCACCCGATGGAGTTGTACAGAATTATTTTCTACTTGCTCCAAAATACAGTATTCAGTATTCAGTATTCAACGGTTGCAAAGTGCTAGCCAAAAATGTATCAAGTTCATGCGTCGGGGAACCCATGCCCTCTACAATAGGTCGAATGGGTACCTCTGGCTTATGTATCTTCGGTAAGCCACACACTTGGTAGAAGAGATGATTTCGGGCATACGTTGTACCATTTTCCCAGTCCTAGATGCTCCTTTACGTTCCTTAACTAATTACCAACCTCTCTTATTCTTATTCATCACTGACATGATGTCGATCACCTTATATGTTCCCTTCACTAGGTGCTGCTCCATTTTTTTTCCAAATTTTCTTACTTGTTTATTATCATTGTGGTTTTGCCTTTACCGGCTTTTGTGATAACACTGTTCGGGTCTTCTTCTAGGGCAGTTAATGTCACACGTTCCTTTGGGCAAGATTCGGCTCCCCCGGTCGCTGCAATTTTATGATGTTGCCAAGCTATGCACGAATATGCTCAGCCGTTGAAGCGGGTAACTTCGTTAAAGCACCCACAACACTAGGAATAACTTTCTTCGGCTCTTAACTTCGATTTATTGATAGTAAATGTCAAATCCTTCTCCAGTCGTCTACGCTTTGTCTCACTCAACATTATGTGAACTATTAAATACGTTGCAATATCTGCTACTAAATACAAGCCTGCTGTTTATGGATGTTGGGGCGGCCCAGCGAATGCTAATAACTGTGAGAGTGGTACCATCATTTGGTTTGCGCTACAGGGCCACCAGCCACTTGGTGATCCGCTGACTCTTGCTTGCGAGGATCTCAAGGTAGTCCATCAATTCACTCTCCTCGACGGCCGCATCAGGAATGATGGGTGCAATACGCATCAGGTCAGTTCACATACTTTTGACTCTAGAGCTGCCTTCTTAAGCCTATGACATCTCCGGCGTGAGAAAGCAGTTTCCCTAATTCCGAAAGTCTGTGTCTAGAAGACCACAGTGGGGGCCGTCCTACTCTACGGGAGTGAGACGGCCCCTCCGTTCTGAATATCTGAAGCGCCTTTAAGTCTGGTCATCGCTGTTTGCGAAGCATCGTTGCTGGCGGGTGACACCAGCGTGTCCGCAACTGTGATTTGCGTTAGCGAGTGTTATGCGGTGAATACCAGCTAAGATCCTTAGGACAGCAGATGGCACTGAATAAGTTGCGTTTGCTTTAGCAAGTACTGCATATCTCCGGTCACCGCTTACCAGACAGGGCCTTGTTTTGTTTGCCGGATGTAAGTTGTCGCAAGGCTCCAGCTTGGACAACGAAAAATGAACTCACATGATTATAGTGGGTGTCGTTGGTCCCTCTCGCCTTCCAGACTGGGGTCCAAGTGACTCGCCTTGAGACCTTACTGCACAGCTCGCAATCGGCCCCAGTGGCATGTTTGCTGACGTTTCCTAGTGGGACCGCTTGTTTGAAGTGCGTTTGCTGCTAAATTATCTACGGGGTAATGATTGACAAAGACACGTGGCGGTGAATGACGCAAGGAAACTGTCTCGCCGATGCCACCTTACTTTTGCACGATAGCCATTTGTTTGTGACTGTGTGTTGTTGACAAGGTGTAGGCGTCTTGATCCAGAATGTTTGCTTAGTGCACTAAGCTTTTTTGCTAGGTTTCTCTTTTCTCTCTGTTATTATTCTTCACTCCTTAGGTCACCGTGGCTGTAATGCAGCGGAGCATCAGTTCATTTGGCTGATGTACTGTTTTTAATAACGATGGTTATCACGACCATTATGTCTTGTCCCTGTTTGTTTTTTGGTTTCATCCTACCTTCTTTCATAGTCCTCTATTCCGATGCTCAGGTCCTTTGTTACTACCGGATAAAACTTGTTGATGTAGACCATGGGGATGACAGCATGTTGAAATTTGGCCATCACAAGCTGTGCAACCAGCGTCGATTAATTTTGTAGTGGCCTTATCCGTTGGTATGTTTTTATACTTTTTGGGGTTACTTCTACTCTCTTGTTGTTGGCGGTTACACCGAATGGATTTCCTTGTTTATACTGAGACTGCACTGGTAAGTGCAGTTGAAGGGTACGCTATTCTTTGCGTTGGTCACCATTGTTCTTGCTTCTATCTTAGGTCCTGTTAAACAGTTGTTCCGTTTGCCTCCATTTTTCTGTAATTGAAGTTATTTTTCAGCTACGGACCATGATGCCTTGATTACAATGTATCCTTCCTTGGATCAGTTATAGCGGCTGTATAAGCGCTGCTGTATAGCTCAAATCATAGCACTGCTCGGTTTGACGTACCCTTCATACCTTAAATGTGATGGGTAAGTTGTTAAAACAATCGGTTATCCAAATTCATTGTTTTGTTATCTGCATCACTTCATATGGTCACATCATTGCATTCGTCCGTACTTATCGTGGGGGCTTTCCAAGCCCCAGCGTTTGAGGTGACATCAGAATACGAACGTGTTTGATCGCAATTGACCGTGTTATTGTAAGGGAGACAGACATCCCGCTTCACTTATCAATGGACTGACCTCATTTTATCATCGATGGCTACGGATTACTGATAGAGTAATGCAAAGTTTTCCATGTGGAGTTAGACATCGTTATACAAGTTAGTAACTGGTACAAAGCACCTTAGCTGTTGCACCGCAATACAAGAAAAAACATGCAAGTGGCACGCCAGCTGACACCAGTAACGGATGGACATCATTCCGGATGGCTAATAGCCGGTAACTGTGCATAATAAATGAGGTCATAGTTAGAAGGGTGACTAAGCGGGAGGGGGAGGGCCAAAGAAACGCACAACAAGAACGCCATCTAGATCCATATCAATTAGCAGGCATCTCTTCATGGCAAAGCAAATTGCCAAACCGGACATTGAGTCTCTAAACTGTCTCTGGAACTTATTTATGCTCGCCGACGTATTCCGGCTGGAAGCGAGTACCATGAGACTCGCAAAAATCTCAGGGCAAAACTACGTGCTAGCCTGAAGAAAGACCGCGAAACCTGGTGGTCTCATCGTGCCTCTGAGATGGAAACAGCCGCTACCGCTGGTGATCATCGTGTTATTCTGTCTGATACGGGAAACAGGCAGCAGGAGACCTGGGGTTAGCGAGACCATACGCGACGAGAGTTCGCAGCCGATCTACAGCCTGTCAAAACGTTTGGAGCCTTGGGTTGAACACTTTACAAGGCAGTTTAACCAACCTGAGTTGTCGGTTTCTTTTTCGGGCATTGAGCGCCCTTCTCCCTGGGCCGTCTCCTTGAATCCGCCCTCACGCGCAGAAGTCGAACGTGAGATCAGGCTGTTGAAATTGCATAAGGCGCAGGGGCAAATAGAATTCCCCCAGCCCTCTTCCAATTCGGGGGATCTGCTCTACTAGATGATTTACACGAGTTGTTGGGGAAACTTTATGAGCAGAAGACGGTCCCGACAGACTGGAACCGCTCCGTCATTGCCCCAATTCTCAAGGGAAACTCCCGTTTGGAATGCGGCAACTATAGAGGGATCAGCCTGATCTCAATTGCCACTAAATAACTTACGTCGGTCGTTCGTCACAGACTGACTGGCCCTCATCAAGACCAGATCCGCAGAGAGCAAGCCGGGTTTCGTCGAGGTCGGGGCTGCATCGAGCACATCTTCACCTTGCGTCAATTGTTGGAGCACTGCCATGTTTATTGGCGACCCACCGTTGTCGTGTTTCTTGACATTAAAAGTGCCTTCGACTCAGTCGATCGACGTGCCCTTTGGGACTGTCTGTTGAGGAACGGTGTGCATGATAAATATGTAAACATTATCAGAGCGCTGTACGCGCATAGTTCGGGCAGAGTTAGGGTTTATGGCAAACTGTCGCCACCCTTCAGTATCATCAGCGATGTGAGACAAGATTGCCCGCTGTCACCTTTCCTCTTTAACTTCGTTATTGATGAAGTCATGGAAACAGCGTTCGCTTGACACGACCTAGAAGATGTGGAGCTACTTCCTGATGAGCGACTTCTTGACTTACAGTATGCGGACGACATTGCCCCCATATATGACAGTGCCCAAAGGTACCAGGCAGCACTGGACTGATTAACACTGGCTGTCAATCGTTTTGGGCTATGCTTTGCTGCATCGAAATGCAAAGTACTTCTCCAAGATTGGCAGGGACGCAAGTCTGCGCTAATGCTTTGTGGTGATCTGCTAGAAGTTGTTCAGAATTTCAAGTACCTGGGCAGCTATATTAGCGTCCGTCGGATCGAAGCTGAGATTACGCACCTTATAGCAAAGGTTCGAGGTGCTTTTGCCAATATCCGCCACCTGTGACGCAGACGCGACATCACTCTCGCCCTGAAGCACAGAGTTTATAATGCAGCCGACCGTTCAACTCTCATATATGTGTGTGAAACCTGGCCCATCAGGTCGACAGACATAAAGTGACACGTCATATTCGATCATCGCTGTCTTCGCAGCTTAGCTCATGTCTGGTGGGAGCACCGCGTGAACAATGAGTGTGTTCGGCGTCGCATATTTGGTGCAGGAAGAGCGAGTCAACCGCTCAGCACCGTTATATCACGCACCAGGCTCCGATGGTTGGGCCACCTGTTGCGCATGTCAGCAAACGGACTTCCGCGACGTGCATTGTTTGCGCGCTGGACGTGCGGCTGGAAGAAGGGAGGCTAAGTGATGACTTGGTCGATAGGGATGAAAACCCTCACTTTGAAGTTGGCGTCGGTTGCTGCATCCTGACTGCCGGGCCGGGGTCCTAAGGGCGATGAACACGTTTAGTTTAACACACTTGCTGATATGGCTAGGAGCTGGCCCCAATGGCGTTTGTGTTGTACGTTCCTTTGTCCACCCCTTTCCTGCTTATCATCCCCTCCAATAACGATCTAACTCTAGGCATAATTTGGCTCTTTTTGTGGCACGATAGCCAGCTGTTAGCTCTTCGGAACGATGTCCATCTGTTACTGGTGACTCAGCTGGCGTGTCACTGTTTGTTTTCCTGTTATTGTCTTTTGTATTGCGATACAATAGCTGAGGTGTTTTCCACCTGCAGCTAACGTGTATAATGATGATGAGTCATATCAATAAGTGTATCCACCCAAACGTGTTCGACTTTCGGACCTAGGACCAGGGAACCGAGAGTCTCCAGCCGAGGCCAGCTTCGAACTAAGGTCCTTCATTCCTCTTGGCCAAGTAATCGCTTGGCAACTCTTCATTCATCCGTACACCCAGCGCACAAACAACGCACGTTGCGGGGGGTCAGTGGGCTAGAATGTGCGATACATGGCCCAACCATCGGAGCCTGGTGCGTTATATAAAGGTGCTGAGCGGTTCACTTCATCTTCCTATGTCATAAAGAAGGCGTCGAACAAGCTCATTACTCACACGATGTTCCCACCAGGCATGAACCAAACTGCGAAGGCGCTAGTGCTCGAACTTAAGTAGCCTTTTTATTTCGGCTCATGCAATTTGCCATATTTTACAACCCTACAGTTTTTTCGAACGTATGGCTGCATTATAAACTCTAACTTTCAAGGAGAGTGTGATGTCCTGCCTGCGGCATAGGTGGCGGAGGTTAGCAAAAGCGCATGGTGCTTTCATTATACGCTTTGTACTCTCGTTTTCGATTCCATCATCATCTTCATTATACACGTTAGCTGCAGGTAGAAAACACCTCAGCTATTGTGCCACAATACAAAAGAGGAGGAAAAATGACAAGAGAGGCACGCCGGCTGAGTCCCCAGTAACGGATGGACATCGTTCCAGAGAGCTAACAGCCGGCTCTTGCCGCAAAAAGAGTTATGTTATGCCTAACGAATGAGATCGTGGTTGGAGGGAAGGTTAAGCGGGAGAGGGTGGACAAAGGAACGTACAACACAAACGCCATTGGGGCCAGCTCCTAGCCATATCAGCAAGTGTGTTAAACTAAACGTGTTCATCGCCCTTAGGACCCCGGCCCGGCAGTCAGGATGCAGCAACCGACGCCAACTTCGAAGTGAGGGTTTTCATCCCTATCGACCAAGTCATCACTTAGCCTCCCTTCTTCCAGCCGCACGTCCAGCGCGCAAACAATGCACGTCGCGGAAGTCCGTTTGCTGACATGCGCAACAGGTGGCCCAACCATCGGAGCCTGGTGCGTGATATAACGGTGCTGAGCGGTTGACTCGCTCTTCCTGCACCAAATATGCGACGCCGAACACACTCATTGTTCACGCGGTGCTCCCACCAGACATGAGCTAAGCTGCGAAGACAGCGATGATCGAATATGACGTGTCACTTTATGTCTGTCGATCTGATGGGCCAGGTTTCACGCACACATATGAGAGTTGAACGGTCGGCTGCATTATAAACTCTGTGCTTCAGCGCGAGAGTGATGTCGCGTCTGCGTCACAGGTGGCGGATATTGGCAAAAGCACCTCGAACCTTTGCTATAAGGTGCGTAATCTCAGCTTCGATCCGACGGACGCTAATATAGCTGCCCAGGTACTTGAAATTCTGAACAACTTCTAGCAGATCACCACAAAGCATTAGCGCAGACTTGCGTCCCTGCCAATCTTGGAGAAGTACTTTGCATTTCGATGCAGCAAAGCATAGCCCAAAACGATTGACAGCCAGTGTTAATCAGTCCAGTGCTGCCTGGTACCTTTGGGCACTGTCATATATGGGGGCAGTGTCGTCCGCATACTGTAAGTCAAGAAGTCGCTCACCAGGAAGTAGCTCCACATCTTCTAGGTCGTGTCCAGCGAACGCCGTTTCCATGACTTCATCAATAATGAAGTTAAAGAGGAAAGGTGACAGCGGGCAATCTTGTCTCACATCGCTGATGATACTGAAGGGTGGCGACAGTTTGCCATAAACCCTAACTCTGCCCGAACTATGCGCGTACAGCGCTCTGATAATGTTTACATATTTATCATGCACACCGTTCCTCAACAGACAGTCCCAAAGGGCACGTCGATCGACTGAGTCGAAGGCACTTTTAATGTCAAGAAACACGACAACGGTGGGTCGCCAATAAACATGGCAGTGCTCCAACAATTGACGCAAGGTGAAGATGTGCTCGATGCAGCCCCGACCTCGACGAAACCCGGCTTGTTCTCTGCGGATCTGGCCTTGATGAGGGCCAGTCAGTCTGTGACGAACGACCGACGTAAGTTATTTAGTGGCAATTGAGATCAGGCTGATCCCTCTATAGTTGCCGCATTCCAAACGGGAGTTTCCCTTGAGAATTGGGGCAATGACGGAGCGGCGTCAGTCTATCTTAGATTCCACCAGGGCTGATATAACTGTCCAGATGGTTGAAATTTTGAACGGCTTCTAAACGATCCCCACTATGGTTCAGCGCTGGAGGCGGTCGCTGCTAATCTTCGAGGAATGCTTGACACTTTAAGGGTGCAACGTAAAGTCCGAAACGACTGACTGCCAGTGCTAATCTGTCCAGTGCCGCTTGATACGTTTGTGAGCTGTCACAGATGAGGGCAATATCGTCAGCATATTCTAAGTCAAGAAGTCGTTCATCTGGGATCAGCTTCCCATCTGAATCGCGTCCTGTGAACGCGATCTCCATAACTACGCCGAAAGCTAAGTCGGAGAAGAAAGATATCGCTGGCACCCTTGTCTTACACCGCCGGAGATATTGAATGCCGGTGACAGCTTACCGTAAGTCTTCACTCTGTCTAAGCTACGCCCATTAAGCGTTCGGATTTTATTTACTTATTTCTCAAGCACACATTCTCTTAGTAAACAGTCCCAAAGGGCACATCGATCCACCGAATCAAAGGCACCCTTGATGTCGAGGAACACGACAATGGTGGGCCGCTAATATATGTGACACTGCTCCACCAACTGACGCAAACTGGTGTTGTGATCTTTGCAGCCTCGGCCACGACGAGACCCAGCTTGCTTCTCATGAATCTGGGTTTCACGAGTTCCAGTCAGTCTGTGAAGGATGATAGAAGCAAGGAATTTGGAGGCGATGGAGATCATACTGATTCCTCTATGGTTGCCACATTCTGAACTTGTCACTTGAAAATGTGGGCAATAACGGAGCGGCTCCAGTCGGTTGGGCAGTTTCTTGCTCCCAGCTTAGTTAGCAATTCTTGTAGATCATCAACGAGAGCAGGAACCTCGAGTTTAAAGAGTGCGGAATGAAGGTCATCTGGTCCCGCGGCTTTATTCAACTTCAGTTGTCCGATCTCACGTTCGACTTCTAAGCGAGAGAACGGATCCAAAAGGACAGCACATGGATCAAAGTGATCACTGGCTGGTGAGGAATCTAATAATTCCGGCCGATTAAACTGCTTTCCAAATTGTTCAGCCCAATGCTCCAAGCGTTTTAACAAGTTGTGGATAGACTGTACACTCCTGTCACAAATAGTTTAACTAACACGAAGTTTCCAGCTGTCCGTTTCCGTATCAAAGAGAGTAACTTCCGATGGTTACCAAGAGCAGCGGCACTTTCACCTCAGACGCACGATGTGACCACCAGGAATCGCGACCTCTCTTCAGATAAGCACGGAGTTTTGCCCTGAGGTCTTTGGGAGTCTCGTTGTGTTCGCTTCAAGTTAGAATGTGCCTGCGTGCATCGATAAGTTCTAAGGACTGCGAAGAGACCCAATGTCCATGTTAGCCATTAGATGTATAATATGAGGATTTGTCTGCTACTAACAAGATCTGCTGAACATGAGACCAGTGACCTTTGACTGTATTCAGTGTGCGCTTACTCAATCCGAATGCCAGCGTATTTCGATACGCATTCAGACCATCTGCCTTCGTCAGTTTGCTGGTGTTTATGCGCTCGTAGCATCGTGGAGGAATGCTTCCAAAACGCACCCGCAGATCAGCACATAAAAGTGTAAGGTCAGTGTCAACACATATGCTCCAAATCGAACGACGGTTTTTAACGCATCCGCTCTACTGGTAACTGATCGCAATGTGATCGATCTGCTTCCATGACTGGTCTGAGGCTAGTAGGCGCTATGTCCGGCGGGTGCTGTGTCGGAATTTAGTGGTCGCAAGAAATAAGAGAGCATCTGCACATAAATGAAGTAGTCGCTCGCCTTTATCATTACGGGAGCCTACACCATCTTGGCCGCCCGGATGCACCTCATAAGTGGACAATTTTCCAACCTGTGTTCAGATCTCCAACCAGCACTACAGTGTCCGTGCTTCTGTGGTGAAGGAGCTCGTTCAATTGACGATAGAAGTCGCGTTTTACCGAATCAGCCATAGCAGCTTTAGCCCGGGGACTCAGGGCAATACCAACGCTGGCTTGGCCGGTACTCGAAGCTGCATCGTCTCCGGATAGAGGTAATGCTAATGCACTGCTGGTGTCACCTGAAATGGATCACGGAGCGAGCTCGGAGCTCGAGTCCTGCAGGGGGGTTTTCGATTGGCAGCAGGTAAGTGTTGCCTATTGACCGATCGGTAACAAGGTGCGTACGTCGACGCATGCCAATCTGAGTTAGGATCGAGGACTCCAAATACAAAGCCAATGAGCTGGGCTTGACCACTTAGTTGAACATTGCCTTGTCAACAGGGCAGTAGTGACGCTCCGCGTTTGCATGTGAGTTGAAACTAGAAGCTAAACACCTATCAAAGCATGGTGGGGGAAGGCCAAGAATCGGGTGTTTAAGACTGGCGGAATATTAATGAAGTTGGAACGGGACAATAAGAGTGAAAAAGCGTAAGTGGGAATAAGAAGACGGGAAAGTTAGAGCATTAGCATCCAAACCCCCATCCACTCTGCTCGATGCAGCACATAGAGCGCCGTTTATTATCCACTGTGGCGATCAGAGCATCAAGAAATCGTTCGAGGAGTGGTTCATTGTATTGCATGGGAAGGATACTGTGGGGTTGTTTTGGTCTAGACTAGATAATGTTTAGGATTCTCAACCAAAGCCTTTGATTCAAAAACCTCACCGCAAGGCAGCGAGTTTGGTAGGGGACTACAAGGACTCTGTTTTAAGGTATAAGGAGCCATCCTCACATCAGCACCCTACCTGAAGACGAGGAGGTTGTGTTTATCTAGACTCTAATCATTGACCTATCTGGTATGAGTGACTCTGAAGGTGCAAAAGGGCACCACCCAGCATAACTCAGTGGATCGTTGAGACACGAAAACCATCACACCACGATAAGGTCCAGCCAGCATTACATTGTCCGTGCTTCTTCCGTGACGAGGGAGCTCGTTCAGTTAACGATGGAATTCGCCTTTTACCGAGTCATCGCTACAGTTTTTGGGGCCCCAAGCAGCCCGCTGCAGCTCTATGCTTGTACGCCGCGTGAGCAATGAGCGTGTTCGACGTCGCGTATTTGGTGCAGGAAGAGCGAGTGAACCGCTCAGCACCATTATATCACGCACCAGGCTGCGATGGCTGGGCCACGTGTTGCGCATGCCAGCACACCGACTCCCGCGACGTGCATTGTTTGCGCGTTGTGGGTGCGGTTGGAAGAAGAGGAGGGGAGGCCAAGTGATGACTTGGTCGAGAGGAATGAAAACCCTCACTTCGAAGTTGGCGTCGGTTGGTGCATCCCGACTGCCTGGCTGGGGTCCTAAGGACGGTGAACACGTTTGGTTGAACACACTTGCTGATATGGCTCGGAGCCGACACCAATGGCGTTTCTGTTGTGATTTCCTTTGCCCATCCCCCTCCTGTTCAGTATCCCCCTCCAATCACGATCTCACTTGATAGGCATAATACGAGTTTCTTTTACGGCAGTCAGCTGTTAGCTCTCCGGAACGATGTCCATCCGTTACTGGGGACTCAGCGGGCTTGCCACTGTTTGTCACTGTTTTCCTTTTCTTTTATTTTGTATTGCGGCACAATAGCCGAGGTGTTTTCCACCTCCAGCTAACGTGTAATGATGATGATGATGGTATACTTGTACGCTAGTTGATAAAATGCGCAATTAAGTGGAGCTGTGTAGTTTCTTTCAAGCCATATTGTAGGTAAACTAGCAATGGAGCTACTCTGTTCTTATCTAACGGTGTCACTTGTTCTTTGCACGACGTTCACGCTTTGTATCAATTTCCTTTTCGGTTTGTTCACCAAGTTATTTCGCATTTGGCAATCCCATCTTTTCTCAGTAGTTTTTCTCCATTTTACGGGCGTTTTTCAGTTAAACGTCAATGTGATAGCACTCTTTGTAGCCGTAACGTAGATGGATTTCTGCAGGTTTTCCTAGATTATATTAGATGAGTTCATCCAGGTAGTAATGTGTGTCTGTCTTTCGTTGAGAAGTTAGATCGGATGTCGGATTTGGTGATTTTGCGCCTGTTGTCATCACCGTCTCTGTCTTTTTCTTGATATATTGCCGCTTCCAATGATTCCGTATTTCATCAGTTATTGGTATGAAACACGCTTTTCTCACCATCCAGTTGTCATTCATGCCCCCAACTGCATTTAGGACGCTCGCGTTTGGATTTTCCCATGTTACCATCTTGTTCTTTTTAGTGTATGAAACATGGTAACACGTTGTGGAATGCAACACACCTGTTGCCAACCTGGGCTGCAACTTTTCCTTTTTCTTGTTACCATCTTGTGAACTAACTTTTCCCTTGTGGCGTCCTTCGGTTTCCAGATGACTGTCTACCGTGCTAGCTCACCGTCCATTTGATTCAATGGAACAACCACTTGTGTTCAACTTGGTTCACATGCTGATTCTTGTGTTCGAACGGCCAAACCACATACAATAATTCATCGAACAATTCCAGTTCACGCATTTGACATGATAACTGGAAGAAAACTTTGCTCTCTCCCGAACATTTCTGGCAGCCACTCAATGACTTGGAAAGAATTGTCTGAGGCGGATGATCTGGCATCCGCTCTCACAGTGGATGTTTATCTTCGGCTCAAAACTCATAAAATGACAGAGTAGGTGATGTTTTTTCATATCGTATGAACATCCAGCATGAAATTACGTATCCCGGAACGTATAAAGGCAAAGTTTCGCCATGCGTTAGTTGAGTTCCAACGCCACAAGTGTTACGAAACGGCATACCACCAACTTACCTCTGATTCAAACATTGTTAAGCGAAGCTGGAAATTAGATACCCGATTTCGGGATCATGTAAGTGTTCTTGGTCCTTTCCAAGGTTCTCTATCTCCCATTTTAGATATTCCGATATTTACTCCTTTTTGATGACAGATCCGGTGTGGAAATCCGTACTTGTTCTAGGTATGCTTCAGAGAATCACGTAGGAGCCGCAATTTTTGCCACCAAGGATTGGTAATGTTACTCAGATTTGCACGGACTTATGGTTTAGGCCCAAAGGTGCCAAGATAAACACTTTAGTTGGTTGTATTGCCGAATTGAATCACTCAGAAGAATTGGCTTTCTTGAAACACAGGAAAAATGACTTTTCTGTGATGTACTCTTCACGGAAAAATTGTTCCCAATTGTGGCTGGGACCAGCAGCCTATGTCAACCATGATTGTCAACCGAATTGCGAGGTGAGTCGTCGATCTCGTGTTTTAGACCACTTCAGTGTCTACTGAGGTTTAAATTGTCTTTTAATTTCATTGAACTTCCAATACATATAATTTTATTTTGATCGACGGTTCGCCAGTCCGATTTCCCGGACCGCATTTGGCTGTTCGTTTGCCTAGGCTGCTCCCTATGTGAACCAGTTGTGACATGCATTATTCGCTAGGAACGCGATCTACTTTGAAGCAGACTCCGATTATCTCGGTTACTGCGATCTAATCTGCTGTAGTTGTGTCAACCGCTCTATTGGTACAGGTTCTGTCCGATTTCAACAGCTCATTCGATCGTTCCATTTTGTTCGATATACTTTTCCAGAAATGTGTTTCTCTGATGCATGCGGACATTTACCGTACCTTGTACTGGAACGCCAATCCATAGCCTAATGGATCACAAGCCTGTCTTGTAATCCGAGGGCGCGGGTTTGAGCCTGCGTAGGGGACCGGGCGATTATTGGTGGTTGCACGGCAGCGAAGCATTGGTACTGCGTACCGGCGTGCTGTTGATACCTATGCATTAGAACGCCTCAGTACTTTGCAGGGGCTAGGTCGAATCCTCGGGCACCCACACAACAACTAGTCGCTTTTTCACTTTCCGTACTGCTTCCCAAGTTCTGTCTTTCGCGACGATACTGGGCCTTAAATTAGTGCGATGGTTTGCATGCCTCAACAACCCATTGAGCTATGCTGGTTGGTGCTTTTTGCACCTTCGGAGCCACTTATACCACATTGGTCAGTTATAGGCCAGACAAACTCAGTCTCCTAGTCCTCCAGGTTGGGAGCTGGAGTAAGGTTGACTCCTTATCCCTTAAAACGGACTATTTGTAGTCCACTGCTAAAGCCGCTTCCTTGCGGTCAGGTTTTTGAACCAAAGGCTTTGTTGCGAACCCTAATCGTTCTCTTGTCCGGGCCTAGGCAACTTTACAGTATCATGCGCACGCACCGGCCAGTGGTCCTGAGGATCAAAAGCCTGCCTTGTAATTCGAGGGCACGGGTTCGAGTCTACGTAGGGGACCGGGTGACACTCGCTGTGTCTTTAACGCACGTGCGACTAGTGGTAGTCGTGCAGCAGCGAAGCGTCGGTGCTGCGTACTGGCATACTGTTGATGCCATGCCCACACAGTATCATGACCTTATCTTCAGACTTTCTTGATTCTCTGGCCGTCGCAAGGAACAGTCAGCGGCGCTCTATCTGCTGCATCCGAGCATGGTGGATACGAGTGAAGATGCAACTGCTCAGGCCTTGCCATATTTTCTGCCTCGCGCTTTCCCCTCTTTATCGTCCTTTTTCAACTTCACTATTCCCTTGTTTTTAACCCCACACACTTTTTGGCTGTCCGCCAACTTTCTTCCATAGTCGCTTGTATTCTGGTTTCGCCTCATGCAATCGCATGGCGTCACTTCGGTCGTGTTGACAATCAAGCGGACATCGTCATTCGATTCACTTCTGTTTGGATCCCTCGATCATCGCTATGACATGCACACCCCAATATGCGTACTTTGACTTGACTAGACTTGAACAGGGAGTCCTTGCCAGGGCACTAGAGACTATCGATCGATATCTGCTGCCTGTCGGAAACTCACCTGCTAATAGCTGCTGATCTGAACGCTAAAATTGGAAAATTATCCATTGATGAGTTACATCTAGGCAGTCAACATGGTGTATTCTCCCGCCATAATAACGGTGAACGGCTGTCATGTATGTGACGATGCTCGTTTTTTCTCCCGAGCACTAACTTCCGATACTGTACCTACAGAAGGGGGACATGGTGCCCACCAGCCATCGGCGCAAATCAATCACGTGATCAGGTACCATTGGAAAGCCTGCGTCCAAAATTGTCGATCGTTATGGAACACAAGCATGGGCTGCGATCACGCAATTGTATGTGCTACGTTCCGGTGCGATGGATTCCCGCATCGACGATGTGGGCGCATAGACACCGGACAACTGGCGAAGCTAGATGTTCTGAATGTGTATCATACTACGCTTGTATCCGGACTGCGTATGCGCTCACTGAACGCAGCTAATGCTCACTGATCAGATGTACGCCAGATCTTAATAGCAACAGGTATGCCTCCATGTGATAATTCTGATTGTAACCCTGGACGAAGAATCACTATGCAGTTTCTTGGACTTCTGGATGCTCGCCGACAGACAACGGGACTCGCAAAGATCTCAGGGCAAAATTGCATACTATCTTGACGAAGGACTGCGGAGCTTGGTAGACTAACCGTGCATCATAGATAGCAACAGCTGCTGCTTTTGTAACCATCGGAAGTTATCCCGTCTGATACGGATAACCTGCAGAGGAAGACCAGGTGTTAGCGAGACTACAATCGACGGGAGTTGACAACCATTCTATAGCTTGTCAAAACGCTTACATCCATGGGCCAAACACAGTTTAATCAGCCAGAGTTGCCCGTCGCCTTATCGGCTAGTGATCACACTTCTTCCTGGGTCTTTCCTTTGGGTCCAACATCACGCGCAGAATTAGAATATGAGATCAGGCTGTTGATATTGAATAGGGCCACAGGGCAGATAGAGTTTCTCCATCCTCCTTCGAATTCTGGGACTGCCTTAATGACCGTTCTCCTCGACATCCTGTGTTGCTCATATTGACCGGGAGTCACCGTAGTGTGTTAAAGTTGGATGTCTGATGATACGCATTAATTTAACCGGCCTGGCTCGAACACCGATCCGCTCACAAACACGATACTACTAGGTCAGATCGTCCTCCTTTTTGTCTTCCAAGGAGTTTGCCTCGGACTCAGGAACGTTTATGCACTTGAGTGTTAGGACACCGTAATTCCGCCTGCTTTTCGGTGATGTGGGGGACGCGGTCCTGGGTATCTGACGAAGTCCTTGCGGTTTTCATCTGGCCCTTGATACAAACCGCATTGAACGGACCTACAAACTGAAATTGGACAAATGTGTCAGACCTCATGCAGGTGTAATCTCCAGTTATGTGTGATCACACTTTCCGCAAGTCTCGAAAATTATCCACAATCCTGTGATTTCGGACAACTGTAGACTTATTTGTCCTGATACAGCGAAACATCCCAAGTCCCTTAGTATTTCACGGTTCGATATTTTGGATCTATGTGTCTCCACTGTTCGCGGGACACAGCGTGTAGGACACATAAGGAGCCTCCTTTCTACAACATACACAAACATCCTGACCAACTTGGTTTGCGGTTCTGTGCTGTTCACATAATGCATCATTCAGGACTGTTGTCTCCATATTCTACCGCTTCATTGTCCTACCTTGGCAATTTACTGTAAGCTCCGACCTCTGGCTATGAAGCTAAATCAACAAAAATAAATTTGATTAGTTCATCTGCTGCCAAGGCAAGAACTGCCTTTTTGAATCTGCGATATGTGGCGTCCGTGAGAGTTCCCTCGGTCTGTTGGGTCGTGTGTACGAAGCCGCAATGAGGGCCGTCCTACTCTATGGTATTAATATTTGACCCACATAAGCCTTTGACCATCGCTTGTGTCGAAAGGCACCATAGTGTCCCTGTGCGTGGGTGGGTACTAGGCAGTGATAATCAGGCTAGACATCAGAACGCAAGGTCTTCAAATTGTCCGTTGCTGTTGCCACTTGGAGCATCATTTATTTTACTCTATCTACTGCGGATCTATAAATATACTTACTCGATCGGTTTTGTTAAAATGAGCCACACTGAAGTGGCCAATGTTATCCTACTCTGCCGAATATTTGAAATCATTTCGAAGTTCGGTCGCAAAGCCAGTAACACTGCCAAACGGATTGTTAACAAACACTTCACCAACGTGAAAAATCATCGCACTGGTTGGAAAGTTGGCCGCAGACGATACCCGTTGCACAAAATGCAAATACCACGCATTCTTCTTATCAATGTGCGTTCACTACTGGGTAAATAGCTAACTTCACGGCACTCATGCTGGCAAGTAAGCTGGTTACACTCCGATGTTGAAGATAGAGTTAATAACATTAATGGATGTTATGCAATTAGGTCCGGTCGCCCAGGTGAGCCAAAAATCATGGTGGGGGTGTCATCACGTATGTTAATCTGCTCTGACGCAACTCAGTTACACAGCTATTCGGTCTACAAGCTCCACAAGCTGCCATTTTCTTGAATGCAAACCTAAATTTCTTACTGGTTTACAATCCATTGTTATCAAAGCTTCAACATTATTCCTGACACCTCATCACCTGAGCTGAGGCTTTTAGTAGATCAACTTTCCTCAATCTCACTGCCAGAACTAGCATGCACTGTCCGCTTTGTTGCCGGTGATTTCAATAAATGTGATACAACTGGCAAATTTAGCATCTCTCCCGACCTGACAAGTCACATAACTTGATGTTGCTTACATAAACAAAATTCGTTTGTTTCCCATACAAAAGCTTGCATCACTGAGTAACTCATTCCATTTCATCCTACAAATTTGTCCTGTCATCTGCTGTAAATGTAGCTATGCTTCACTGAGGATGCGACCTTTCACGACTATCTGACTTCGCAAATGCTCAGTGGAAAACATCACACGACTTCAAACTAACATACTTCAACCGATTTTTGCTTTTTTACTGAAAAGTTAATGCGATCATTCGGTAAGTTACATTAATTTTTGCTCTTACATATGCTGCCCATGGGAACGTTCTATCTGCGAGCAGACAGTTTTTCTTCACCCCTACTGAAACAACGTTGAAGGATAAAAGAACGTACCTGCAAGTCCAGAATGTCCACGCTTGTCAAAAGCTTTACTGCTGAAGTAACAAAGCCAAACAGTTTGTAGACTGAAACAGTGTTGGGAAACCATAGCTGTCGTGATCTCTGGAGTCTCCTGAAGCAAACGTATAGTAAAAGTACCATCAGTTGTACTGGACTAGCGGATGTAACCAATATCGATACTGAGTTTAGGTCCCCTCCGTCAACCATATTTCCACTGCCCTCTTTCACTATCTCGGGCAATTAATACTGAAATAACA